CCCCCCAGGGTTGGACAGCAGGATGTTCTGGGGCTTGAGGTTAAGGTGGATGATGCCCTTGCTGTGTAGCAGCCGCATGGCACAGGCAATCTGCTGCAGGAAGAGCCTGATGGTGTCTTCGCTCAGGGTCCCCATGGTGTGCAGGTAGTCAGCCAGGTCCTCACCATTACAGTACTCCATGAACAGGTAGACGGAATTGGCCATCTCCTGGAAGTTATACAAGACCACAATGTTCTCATGCTTCAGTTCCTTGAGTATTTTTATTTCCTTCCCCAGCAGTGTCTGGGACTTGGCCGGATTCTTCTTGTTAATACACTTGACTGCGACCTCCAGGTTGTGCTTGAAGACTACCGAGAAGGCGCCATGGCCGATCAGGTCCTTGCGGGAGAACTCGAACCTGCCCATGATCTCCCTGCCGCCGCGTCCGGGTTCCATGGCGGGAGCACGGGGCGCGGGAGCGCAGGCTGGGGCGCACAGGGCTCAGGCAGAGGCGCGGGCCATGGCCTGAACATGTGCACTGGAATGGGGGCGCGGGCCGGGCGCCAGTGCTTCGCCGGGACGCGCGCCCCAGCGGGCAGGAGGGGCTGAGTCCCAGTCCCGCGGGGACTATTACCCGTGCTGCGTGCTCCCTCAGCGTCCGCTGCGGCGCCCTCGTGATGCTGGCAATCCGAACCCACTCGGACTCAGACGCGGGTCTGGCTCCGACTCGCGCCTTGACCTCTTTCTGGCGTAGACTAGTATTGCTATTTTCAACTTAAAAATCTGCGACCTATTTCGCATTCTCTTCTAGGTAGATATCAGAATTATTTTGTCAAATTCCAAATATTTCTGTTGACTTTGCAAATTGTATAGCTTTATAGAGGAAATGACATTTATTCTACACTGGGAAAGTAGTTTTCAGTTATGTGCAAAACTTTCTAATTGTTCAAATGTGGACTTTCTTCTTTTTAAAAGTTTTCATCTTAGTGGTAACCTTGAGACAATTGACATTAATGACTATTACCAATGTCAAACATGTTATATGATAATATAACCCACTTCAAACTGCCAATTTAATTAAAAATCGAAAAATAAATATGTACCTTCTCCTACACATTAAAGATATCTCTGTGACTTGAGTTGGTATTATTCAGCTATTTTTAGTTGATGTTTATTTATGTGAAAAGGTGTGCTAAATTTGTTAGCAAAAAGCACACAAAATTTGTATAACTGAATGCATTCTTTGTTTTTGTTTTAAGTACATTCTTAACAGAATTTAATGCAGTCATCAAAATTACCTTTTATAGGATAACTCTTATTATCTTTTATAAGAGTTCATAGCCAGGGAAACAATGCTTATGACATAATATTGCAGAGCTTAGTGCTTGATAGAAAAATTATAATTTCAGTATAACTATTGACTGAAATATGGGTTTAACTCAAATAAGAAAGATTCATACAGAATAAAGAAATGAAAACAAGGCTTATATATGATGTATATTAGCATCAAAACATTCAAAACAGACATTTGAAAAGAAGCTTTTAGATCCTTTTATCAAGTGAGGCATTCAACAACAATCAGATTGATAATGATGATAAAATTTTTACCTTACCCCACACAAACAACACACAGAAATCAAAGGCTATAAGACTTGTCAGATTAGTACTTTTAACAGTGTTTAGGTACAATGGAAAAAAGTCTAAAAATTGGGTAATAAGCTTAATTGGGTAATAAGCTTAGGTGGATGCTTCTTGGAATAAACACTTTAGACGGTCTCAGTTCAAAATCTTCACCCATCCTCTGTGTAAAATAAAACCCTCCTTTATCGGAAGAAAAAAAATTTATAGCCCTGGGAAGAATAAGAAATCAGAATAAGAAAAAAGTAATAGAGGAATAAATAGAAATGTATGGTATTTAGCACTTTTTAACATAAGTGTGTTGATTGTTTTTATGATCAGTGCAAGTTGTAAAGATTTGTGTGTAATAAAAATATTGAAATTTTTTAAATGATTTAGTATACTTGATTTTCTTTTTTATATTTGAAGAGTTTGAATCTGTATTTATGAAAGAATATTAGAAAAGCCTAATGTGTTATGTGAATATTGTTATTAATTGTGCAAATGATATGTAGGATTTGGTGAAAAGTTTACTTTTATGAATTATACATTCCATGTTATCCAGAAGTCAAATCATACTGTATTGTTTTCATTGTGATAGACCATAGACATAAATATACTTATTAACATACTATAATGTGTTTTTAACTAATTTTTATTGTTATTATTATCAGAAATTGAACCTAGGGAGTGATTTACCACTGTATTACACCCCCAGCCCTTTTCACTTTTTTTCATTTTATTTTGAGATAGGGTGTAGCTAAATTGCTTAGGGTCTTGTAAATTGTCCAGGCTGGCCTCAAACTTGTAATTCTCCTGCCTCAGCTTCCTTTAGAAAATAGAAACAATAAAAAAAATAGAAATCTTTTCAAGGAAGGACAGAATGTTTAAAATAGAGATTTTAAAACATTGACTAATTCAGCAAATTGACTATATATTTGTAACACTTGACAGCAGCATAAATCAATGCCAAACCTCATACCTGGACTTCTTTGGTCCTTTCTTCCTTCTCACCCTCTTTTCTTCCTTCTTTCTCCCTTTCTTTGTTTCCACTTTCTAAATCTAAATCTATTACATATTTTTGATAAACATTCTTAGAAAAGTCCAGAAGCATGGAGATAATTGAAAATAAGCATTGCCTTATCATCATTCCCAGCATCAAGCAACACATTTCTTTCTTCAAAGACCAAACTGTTAAAGACTTAAACACAAAGTTCATTTTTTTCAAAGAATTTTGATCTTTTGCAGTCATCTGAATCATTGTCCAATTTCCTTGTTAATTTTGAAATTTTCATGTTTCACTTGGAGGATGGAAAGAACAAGTAGTTATGTAGTAATATCCTTATTCCAAACTTTTTTAAAAAAGCAGTGCTGAATTAGTATGAAATACTACCACACTTAAAAGATAACTGATAAAAATTTCAATATTGAAGATCATAATTTAGAGGAATGGATTGAGAAAAACATAGTTTTTTGTTGTTTCAAAGTGTTTTTTTTACCCATTATCTCTTTAAACTATGAGATTGACATTATCATCATTCTCTTTCACACAAGGAAACATGATGAATAATAGTTGGTAGCTGAATTTAATCACATGGCTAATGACTGCTCAGGGACTTGAAAAAAGCACTTCTGATTCCACACCATTTTCATTACACTAAATTTTTGGTATTAAAATGCAATACAAGGTGTTTGTTACTGTGACAGAAAGATCCCTTCTTTCCAATAAAAATATATAAGCCACATGATCACATGAGAAATGCACACTTGATGATAATGACAATAAAACATTTGGTTCTCCATCATATTCAGTAAAAGCTACAATTCCAAGTGCTAATGCCAAGTTTTTGAAAGTTTCTGAGTCAACAAAGAAATATTTCATCATTACCTGATCAAACCAGAGGCCTGAATTGAGAGCTATAGTTCATCAAGTACAGTGTGGGGTTCTTTGAAACCCTGCAGCATTACCAGCATGTCTCTGACTTAAAAATATATAGATTTAATTGGGGAGAAAAAATATGAACTGGAAGTGATAAATAATACTAACATGGCTGATGTAGAGTGAACGTGAAGTCAGTCATTTTGAAGATCATCAATATGGAGATGATAGTGAGATGCAGGATAAGAGAAGAAATGTGATTTTCAATGTTGACCCTGAAATGTTCAAACTCATCTGCAGAAGCAATTGGTAATAATGGCCATCTTCTAAGACTGAACCAAATC